TGCATAACCGTTAGCTGAAGCACTATTGCAGATAGAGACATTCAAATAGTGCTTTATTGAATATGATTTGATCAACAATGAATGTGACCTCATTAAAAATGCATAACTATAATCTAGATTCAGATATAGACATTTACCATGTAACCATAGGGTCGATGATATAACTAAAGCTTGTCGGAAAATTGAGCTTGATAACGACAATGGAGGATGGAATTAGAAAGGGGCTTATTTAGGATTCTGAGAGAATTAGCCAGCCAATGAGATTGTTTTAATTTCACCCAATCAGCTCGTTTATCCTTTCACCAATCATGTACAAGGCCAATATTTATCTCGAGTATATACCGGTAAATAGAAGACGAAACGTCTCTTCTTTTGCTCGTTCAATAAAGTCATCTATTGCACTCCATACGCGGTTTATTCTTCCATTCCTGAACTTGAACCTACTCTTTTTTACCAAATCCCAGGCACAGTGCTTTATTGTGCACATTGGGCACACGATCTGATTGACATATTCAATGACCATTTATGGTTAATGACCTCATTAAAAATCGTACAGTCATATTAATATTATCATATCAGGAACACTATTGCAGACATAGATGTTTAACCATTGCTTGTAATAAAGATGTTGGGGGATCTGTCATCAAGCTAAACTCACCTGCGCACGCGCGGGAATTGAGTCCCAAGCAACAATAACAACACACGCTAAAAATGCAAGGGCTCATGGATAGACGCATGCGCAGGTTACGACTCCCCCGCTTTAATACAAACAAGTTACTGTGGAATACTTTATTTTCGCTGGAATAAATTTTCACTGAAAAGGCTTTTTACCCGTTTTGTGTGGAATTTATTTTCACTGATTTTTGATGAGTTTAATGTGAAATATAGGAAAAAAAGTATATTCGCTGGATTTTATTTTCACGGAAACATCCCTTCAGCGAAAATAGCGAAAATAAATTCCAAGCCACTGACTATATGAGGTAGGTGGTAATTCAATGCATCGCGTCTAAATTAAACGGTAAATCCCTACAAATAGCTGCTGTAAACAATTACTCATAAATATTTTGTCATAATAAATTTCACTGTTACATAGTGTAAATATCCTGGATGATAAATTGCAAATAACCCACTTCTCATATTAAAATCCATTAAAGTTAAGTATTACAAGACATCCAAGGTTCCTTGGGATTTAAATTAATATCAAATTCCATTATGACAACGAGTGAGTGTGCCTGGAGATGTTAGTGACGCATCTACCATACATTGCTGAGACAAGAGCTAACCCATTAGTTGCATAAGAAATATTTTTCCTGGTCTCTAATATTTCTGGTCCAAAATGCAAATATTTTTTCCTGGTCGCTAATATTTCTGGTCCTGAACTAGTTTGAATCTTTATTTGCACATGTTTCCTAATACAGCGTTCACTGCAGGATCTTGAGTTTTTATTTTAGGAGTATTTGGTGCACATTTGATGTTTGTAAATTTTGATGAAGTAAGGGTATCTAACTTCAACATTCCTCTCTCAAAAATCAACGATTCAAAATCAAATTGTTCAAAATCAAATTCAGCAGGCGTTCGGTCGGCGTCTTTCACGCAATATGCGAGATTTCACTGTGAACAGTAAATTGTCTATTATTGTGGACTCTATGGAATTGTGGGTGGTAAATCATCTGTAGAATGAAG